ATACAGTATAGGCAGAAAGTCATTATACCCTCATACTTTTTGTACATAAAGCCTCATATTGTTCGAGAAGCTTGAGAGGATGAACTGAAATTTTGCACAATTACTTACTATGATGTAAGGTTTCCGGAACCATACTTTGGATAACGGCGTGGCACAAGCAACGACACGGTGAAATTATATCCAAAATTCCGACAGGAAAAAAGTCTTTATACCCCAATTAAAGTCTAATCAAAAATGTGTTCATAATTTGTTTGTGTTAAATAACAGTCAAATTAGCACCTGGGATGTCCTCCCCCATCGTTTAGGAAGGCAAAAACACATCTTGGCATCGAGCCAAAAAATAAGCTAGTGACAGAATTGTCCTTATTCTCCTATTCAAGATATATGGCGAGGACCAGTGCTTTGAGGTTGGATAGCATGTGCTGAGAAATTTTGGGCTTCACCATTGACCATAAATGTGCATTAACATGCTGTCCGATGATTATGGATGGCAATTCAACAATCAATCTCCTTTGTTGAAAACCAAATCTTCAATAATTTTGATGTATGCTTTGGATCGCCTTACTATTTGAAAATATAATTAATCCCCAACGGTTATTTCCTCACGTTATCATCAAATTCCAACTCAGAACGTCGCAGTAGTAGTTGGAGTACATTGCTACTTCGATTGTACTAAAGTTTCGGACGCCCATCCACAACGTCACGCCCAAACAATTCGATTTCCACCCCATTCTTAATTGTTAGCGTACTGTACTTGATTTTGTCAGCGTGCCTTTGCTGAATCCATATTCCACTGGTCCCAATTTGAACCAAGCAGGTTGATGTTGACCTCGGCGAACAATATCTGCAGTTTCTAACATTTAGCCGTCCAATTATCATGATTTTTAGCCCATTTAGAGCTGTCTGCAATATAGGCCTCGCGGAGAAATAGAATTTTCAATGTTGCTGGCTGTCGAAATCCATCTTAAGCGATCCTACCTTTTGTAATTCGCACAGAAACTCGAAGATTATATTCTTCCCTCGTTTCCAAGTTGATTTTTGGTGAAGATAACCGTGAAATCTTTGGGCTTTGGAGAACTTGCCGTGATCAGTCTATGGGGTCGTGAGCCATGTACATGATAAAGCTGTTAAATTCCATTCGATCCCAAACTTTTTGCAGTTCTGGACGATTCTGGCAACTCTACCATTCCTAATGGGTAGTTAGTCGGAAATTCTTTGGTGTCGAAGATTTTCATCATCAAAATTTACGACAATTTGTCTCAGGGCGGGGTTAAGGTGTTTTTGAGTGATTATGAGCTAATTTTAGTAACGGACAACTAGTTCAGCATTAGACAAATGTTATTTCTCAATTAATAATGAATTATTTGGTGCGTGAAAGGCGATTTAAGATTTTATTTTCAAAAATTACATTACAAGTACCAAAAAGTCAAAGGGTATAAAGACTTTTTTCCTGTCGGAATTTTGGATATAATTTCACCGTGTCGTTGCTTGTGCCACGCCGTTATCCAAAGTATGGTTCCGGAAACCTTACATCATAGTAAGTAATTGTGCAAAATTTCAGTTCAATTTAGTCCAACCTCAAAGCACTGGTCCTCGCCATATATCTTGAATAGGAGAATAAGGACAATTCTGTCACTAGCTTATTTTTTGGCTCGATGCCAAGATGTGTTTTTGCCTTCCTAAACGATGGGGGAGGACATCCCAGGTGCTAATTTGACTGTTATTTAACACAAACAAATTATGAACACATTTTTGATTAGACTTTAATTGGGGTATAAAGACTTTTTTCCTGTCGGAATTTTGGATATAATTTCACCGTGTCGTTGCTTGTGCCACGCCGTTATCCAAAGTATGGTTCCGGAAACCTTACATCATAGTAAGTAATTGTGCAAAATTTCAGTTCATCCTCTCAAGCTTCTCGAACAATATGAGGCTTTATGTACAAAAAGTATGAGGGTATAATGACTTTCTGCCTATACTGTATCAACCTGTTAACTTAAGATCGCATGTCGAAAGCAAATGAGTTGCTCAGAAAACTCATTTTATTTCTTATTAATATGTGCTGAATAGGCATACTGACATACTTACAATTAACTCTTAAATATTCGAGTACGTAGTATTAGTATGTACCTATAATTAAGAACCTGTTTTAAATAAACTGTTATGTTAACGTATTGCTAGGCTTATGTAAGTGCAAAAAAGAATCGATCAGTGTCCCTGAAATCTTGATCACAGGTTGCGGATGTTCTTATCTCCATCGATCAGTCGTTAAGCATTTTGTTCCTGTTTCTCTATTAAAATGACTCAAACGACTCAAATTCTATCCATATTTTCAAAATGTTTTGTAATTTTGTATCAAACTTCCCCTCCCGTATGGGATCACGGGTTATCAGACATCCCACAAATTTTCATACACAATTCTCTGCCTCGTTACACACACCAACAATTCAACAAGGATGCAATATTTTTCGCAAAAAACGAAATAAAGTATCGCATCGAAAAGCTGACAAATTTCCAATGTATTGCGGAAATTGAACATGGCTGGTTCCCATTTCGGACAAATGTTTTTTATGAACCCCAAATAGGATTTGTCCTTCCTCCAAGAAACAATGACTTTGAAGCCGACGAACTTTCTTTTAATAACCCCTTCAAAACTTATCTTTTTAGATTTCGACTACTTTTGACCCATCAAGTTGAAACTTACAACGACCCAAAATTATGGACTGATTGGATTTCTTCCCAAAGCAATTGGGGTCTTGGTGATATGTCCATGGCACACCGAATTATTATAGAAATTCGTGCAGAAAAGCAAACCCTTAAGGTCTGGTTAGTCTGTAAATTTTGCCATCCAAAGTACTTCACTCTTGTGCCCTTCTACAATTTCCTAACTTTCTCCCATATTAACAAAGCGTTCTCGTATTTGGACGCTATAGGCAACCAAATCTCTTGGGATCTCAAAGATAACGCTAGATGGTACGAAGATCTCACTGGTGGAGCTCAAAATTTCAGAATTGAAAGTCCAGACTGCTTCGAAATTAGAAAGTATAATCACCAACGATGCGTCACCATGGAGTTTATACTCTTAAAAGCCGTGATTTCCTCTATATCTACCTATTACAATGTGACAATTCATGACAAGATTAACCCCGCAGGGAAAAACGTCAATTACTCGTACTCCTACCCTTTGCTACAACCATTCAGCTGTCGCAAGCCGTACCACTGTCGACTTATCAAAGTTGAAGCAAATGTTCCCACCCTGCAATTTTTCGGCTGGCTTGGTAAATTTTCGATTTACAAAGAGGATGGGTTTGAATTTCTTACTTGCGATGGAATAAAACAATCCAGGGAAGCGATAAATTTCGCTGGTTACATTGACGCGTTTGACATTTGGACTTGGACCTTACTGGGAATCATTATTTTAGGAACGCCATTAATTATAGCTGGCATAAGAATAAGTCCATGCACTGTGTTCAGGCACGAGAGATATGACTTTGTGGTATTACCATATGTTAAACTCCTCCTAGAACAAGGCGACCCTTGGCTGACAAACCCTAGCCGAACGAGGTTCATCTATCCACTCGTGACGACATGGATGCTTATTTCCATCGTGATCAGCAATGCGTATAAGGGAGAAAACATAACACATTTGACATCACCTAATCAGCCCAAGCTCGTGGAAACGTATCAAGACTTATTGGAACGTGGTTATGTAATCTATTCCAAGGCTTTTAGTGCAGATGCAGTATACTATTTAACTTTGCTTGGCCCGCTTAAGACAAGTTGCCAATTCACTGAAATTGGAGTTGCGATGGGTGACTTGCCAAATACTTTGATAACTTTCTACAAAAAATTATCCAAGATAATTCGCCTGCCACCGAATATATCCGAGCTGATTAAAGGCAGATCAAATTCGTCATATGTAGACGAAATCGCAAACTGCAACAAGACTGTGCTAGCCTTGCGATCTGACCAGATCGAAGAATACTATTTGCTTATGAAAACCCGGAAAATTTCAAGAGGAACTGTGGTAGTGGGTAAAGAGAAGTTGCTTAAAACCTCTGGTGGTTTTATTTTAAAAGATTGGACCAGCAGTAAAGTCCTTGTAGCCTTCAGTGCCTTAGTTCATTCTGGCATTTGCTCCGAGTGGTTGGATAATTTGAAATTTAATAGTCTTTTACCTCTAAGGAAATTAGCGGCTAGGGTAGATCAAGGCAAGCTAACATGGACCGGAATTGGAATTGAGAATAATGTTGTGACTATATTTTATTTATTGGTGATAATGAGTACTATTGCGACAACCTTGTTTTATGTTGAATGCAAAATGAACTCGTGGAAGTATCGATATCATATGGTGCGGATGATAACTGTTAATTACTGGTGGAGCTGCTTCAGACGTCTACCAAATCTTGTCGCTTCGATGAAGCCATTCTTGGTAATTTTTCGCCGGCCTCGCAATATTGAAGGAATAATAAGTCAGAATTTTCAGTGGCGGCACGTAAAATGCCACCCGTGTCTGGCGCGGTTCAATTGGTGGCATCGACCTCAGATTTGTTGTAAATTGTAAAATTATTTTAGTCCATGGTGCCAAATAGTGTGTATGTATGTATGAAGGCGTACATGTGTATATCTTCTTTGAAATTGTATCCAAGAATTATATGCTTCTAGCTTAATGCAATCTCTGTCACTCAATCAAATCGAAAGCCTGAAGCATGTGATATAAAATCAACAAAAAAATGACATGAATGAGAAAAATGAAAATTAACCTACCCGGAAACCGTAAACCCTACTCGGCCCCAGTGTTTAAAGATCTCGACTCGCCGGCAATCTTAATCTTGGAGAATATAGGCATGTAACCCCATATCCGACCGGCCCCTTACGCAAGATTCAACCTGCCGAAACCCTCGGGTTTATCCTGATCTCTTAACCCGGTTCATCTCTAATTCTGGTATTGAATTTTTAAGCGTGCAGGCAACGACATAATTCTTCCTAGAAGTGATTTTGACTTCGTTGAGCATATCTTAATTTACTTTTTATTCAAGAAATTTCGTGTTATCAATAAAATTTAAGTAATGTATTTGAAAATAACTTTAAATATGTATGTATGTACATATTACCTATATTTATATTTGTACTCATCGCTCAGCACCTTATGTATGTTGGTACATGGTATGTAAGTGCACCATATTTAAGCATGACTCATGGCCATCTTCCATAACACGAGCCGAAAACACAGGCTAAAATGTGTCTACTAACGGTGGCAGTCCTTGCAATCTCATTAGCACTGGCACCTAGTTCAGGATTAACCTCTGCCAACTCAAAACCAACAATGTCCACGGTTCTGTACAGCTCTTCAAACATGGTCAGCGCTTCTCTCAATGATAGCCCGCCGGGAACTGTAAAAATATTTAAATTTCAAGAAATTAACAAAAATTTTAACCTAGTTTTGGCAGATCCAATCAGTCGTCTCGAATCGGATTTATTATCCGAGCATTTACTAAAACATGGATCCAACGTGATCCGACCCAATTTCTCAGTCGGATCGTTTCGGACCGGATCCTTGCTACATGGTCGGATCAGATAACCAACACTACTTCCAAGAATCGCACTCTAACCTGGAGTTCCAGTCGTATGTCCGATCTCCAGATCGTCCAAGGAATCAATATCCATCGAAACGTAGATCGGTCTCGTCCACCCGCCAATCCTGTTGAGCACCATTTCAACAACGCCACGAATTCCGAGCCTGTCCACGTCCCGCATAGTGTAGTGTGCCATCCCCAATCGGTTCAATGTCTCGGTTTCCCCGATATCAACGTCACGCAGGGCAATGTGAGCCACGTTGGCGGCAGGAATTCTGAAAATGTTGGACATATAAATTTAATGCCGGGAAAAGTAGCGCTATCTAATTTTTTCAAAAGTTATGTACCCACCTCGGTACAACCCAGGAGAAAGGGGTTAAATTAGCGTTAATAGCGTTCAACTCGTTAATCACGAAGGAAAGCGGCATCCCATGCAAATTTCCGCTAGGGGTCGTTTCAACCGTGTTGATGTCGGCGTGCGCGTCAATGTAAATGACGGCCAAGTCGGGATACCTTTCTGACATGGCGTTCAGAGTACCAATGGCCATGGCGTGGTCGCCCCCGAACGTTAGTGGGATCCGGTTCGCTTGCAAAATTAGTTTGGTATGGTTGGAAATCTACATAAATTTCCGGAAAGGAATAAATTAGAACTTGATCAATATTAAACATTTCGGCCAAAAAATTTAGTTAATTACATAATGCGTCGCCTCTGCGACAGCTTCGGGGTCATTGACATCCACCAGCGCCCCGACTGACGCTGCCTGGAAGAGTTCACCCAAATAGACATTTCCATAATCGAGAATGTCGTGACCCACGTCTCTAAGAAATTCGACAATTCCGGACCCTCGAATTACAGCGGGGCCATTTTCGACGCCTGGTCTCGGCTAGAAAAAGTATATATTTAACATGATAAAATTTCATGAATTAAAATTAGCAATTAAAATTAGTAATTAAAGAAATTAATAGTCTATTACTTGTCCTTTTTGGATCGGAGCACCCTGGACACCGATTCTTCTCAGGTTTATTTTCTCCTGCGGAGCCACGTACGATTGTGATATACCTGAAAATTCAAAATTGTTTAGTTCAACTTAAATTTCCACGCCGATTTTTTCATACTTTTTATATTTTTTACCACATAATGCAAAGACCAAGAACAAAGTGATAGCCCTCATTTTAATCGATTCTTGTATCAATTTGCCTCAACTAAGGTTGTTATTTATTTATTTAATTATATAATTGTTGCGTAAGGCCAAATCTCCAACTGATACCCACCACGCCTACCGACACACCTTTATATAATCGATTTTTAACCCCTTATCAAGCCCCGATATCCCGTGAAGGTGTGATCTCACTGGAAAATTGTGCAACCCGGTGTCACTTTTATTATGATGGATTTCACCCTAAACGATATAAGTGCTACCTAATCACGACCATTCATCACCATCACGTCAAGTGAGTTATGTCATCCGACAAATTTCAACTAATTAGTGACAACCACGCCTCATTTTTCGTTGAAAAAGGAACATAACGCGTCCCAATTTCCTGGTAAAATCCGCATTTAAACATATCCAAATGTTTTGTTTTTATTACCTCAAAACATCACTTTGACTGACAGGAATTCAGTTTATGTGTAAAATGTGTCGCACTTTTGGTTTATCGATATATTTACATATTCAGAAAAACAAAACACTCGACTTTCTCGTGAGCTTAATTCCAGCTAAATACTCGTAATAAAGTAAAGTAGGTATGGATGAGTTGGAATTGTAAAACGTCACGGAAAGGAATGCAGATCTGATGCGTATTTTTGCATAAGTTTGTTTGCTAATTACGCAACCTGGTTGTAAGTACGGTGCAGGCAGGATTAAGTTGATTTTGGGAAAATTTCTGCCATCAATTCGTAAAGGTCAAATTCGTTACACTTAAAATTGAGAGAATGTATATGTATACATATGTATTTATGCATGCATACATACATATGCATAAATACTACAATTTCACCCTATTTAAGTACATGAAAATACCGCATTCCTATTGCACGGTCCCTTTCTGCAATGCAAGCACAGAACTTACGTACATATGCACTTTTTATATAATTGCTTTTGCGGTGAAGTTATTGGGCTCAAATAAATGGACGTATATATGTATGTGCATACATATATACATATATATATATACATATACAATGTAAATACATATATAAATACTCGTAATTAATGGCAAGAATTTTAGTATTTTATGTATTTTAGTTATACATATCTATTGATATAACTAAAATTTGGAACATGTCATCTTTTCATATATATGTACATAAGTCACTCTCGTCCTTTGAACAATTTGTTCAGCGTGGAACAGCCACTCCTCCCATTGTTTCCATAGCGACATAAAAACGTAACGATTCCACATAACACATAATATGTGTATTAATATGTATATGTAAATTATACATATGTAGCGATTTTGTTTGCATGTTCCAAATTTTTCGCCCTCGCTCCTTAATATCGCAAGATATTTACTGGAAGATCTACCAATTTTGCTAGCTTTTACAAAAAAAGAGCATACAAGACTGGTCATAACCGGTATGAATTTGTATGGGGAAACCCCCTCCACAAGAGGGGATTGTTTATCTACCTAGTCTAAACTTAAAAAGTGATAGTAGAGTAGATGCTATATTAGGTTAGTTTTAAGGAATTTCAAATTTATTTTTATTCCATTGAAAAGCCAGTTAAATTTCATGTAGGAAACATGTATCAGACTTGAAAATATATTCCTCCTGTGACCATGAAAAATTGGTTACCAGAGGAGGAGCCTCTATCCAAAATACACACGAAATTTATTGAAAAAGTGTATCATTCCCGGGTCAGAATTTTTTTTGTGACCCTGACACTTCGATGGGGCTCAGAACAGACCTTTTCCTCAACTTTAATCATGATTTGGCGGTGAAATCAATTTCGGTTCGAAAATACCAAGGACAAACTTAAATCGGAAATGAAGTCAGAAATAAATTTCTTCAGCCGGGTTGTCACGAATTTCGCTGCATTTTTGCTGTGGGGCCCTGCACATAGGTCGGTGGCTTTCCACCCAATATGGACTGGTCGAGGGGGTGTTCCATCTTCATTATGACGCTAATCAAATATTTTTTTGAACTATCTCCTCTCCATAATCGAGGAAATTGGGCGGTTTTTGTCCGATTCCGCCGATTCCCGCCAAAACCATGAATGCAGCCCGATAAGATAGCATTCGACCTCCGTTTCGTAAACAACTAACCCTAAGAATATTTAGCATAAATTCTGCTTCTTTTTTTGTGGAAATATGGTTCCATCTTAAAGAAATTCCCACCGATAAATGAAAAATTTTGTTTGTTTTTGAGGGAAGTCGATTTATTGACCTTAGCTTGGGTCTAGGAAATCTGTAGCGTGTGACGCTTTCTACCATAAAAGGCCTCCATCTTAGGATCATTTTTCAGTGCTCATTTCATTTCTAAAGTTGAAGGGTCATTTGTATGGCCAAAGTCTTCGACGTCAGACAGAGATTTTGTGCTATTCTGGCGTTCAAAGCTTCGGACATCACTGTAGTCCTCCTTGACCTTGGACCACCTGAACTTTTATGTCATAAATAGTCACTGTCCCTAGGGTTAATTTAATGGGTTGGGCAACCAGATCGTAGTTGCCCTTGAATTTCTACCCTATATCTAACATTGTGAATTTTTTGTCTCGCGTAAAAAGTGAAAACTTATTGTCGCGCGCGTATGGTAAAGCTCTTCTAGCTTTTGACCTAGTGAAGTCATGCAAATGAGGTTAACAACAATGATAGCCACTGAATGCATGTACAAACTGCAACATACATTTTAATTTTATGTTGACCAGGTCAAATACTACGCTCTACTATCACTTCTTATGGTTAGACTAGGTACTAAATATATAAGGCAAAGTTAGCATCATATGTAATAAAACTTGGGGATATAGAGATTAAACTAATCCGGTTATTTTGCACCTGTATGTATACATATACCAATTTTGTACATTCCTACAACTTATGTGTAAGGATCGTGCATGAAGAATGTGTATGCAAAATTCTGTCCACTGGCTCTTCGTGTAACCTAAAGTCTTAGGATAACATAATTTACATACATATTTATATAGTACGGAAGGATGTTTTAGTTCATACCGCTTCAAACCCATCACATCTCTTATGCGCGTCCCCTTCCAACAAGTATGAACTAATTTATGTTACAGGTTTCGTGTGCATAAACGAAATGATGAGATGACGGTGACCGGCTTAATCCCCTTGGTAAGGGGGTGATACTAATGAAAGTGGCAGTTGGTTTATTGTGTGTAAAAAATGAATGGTAACAGGAAAATTGGTGAAATTTATATAAATTATAGATGGGGACTGTAGCTACTTATAATTGTCCACCAATGGTCCAAACACTCCATTCCTTCCGATGGAGCGAAGCTTTTTGCGAACGGTCGCCATGAACGTTTTGCCACTGTTTTCCCCAACGAGTTTTATTATTGCCGTCATGACCTGTATAAATTCTCGCAAGTTTTTGGGTGGTTTTTGTCTATTGGAATATTCCTACTTGATTAGGGCCCAAAACCGTTCAATTGGACGCGCTTGAGGGATATTTGGAGCGTCGTCTCTTTTTTCAACAAAATCGATATTTTTGCTTCGAAACAAGTCGGTCACAATCTTGTCATAGTGGGGTGTCGTCATGTCCATGATATGCTTGTTTTTGATGAAGGGGGTCAATCTCTTTATGATACATCTTTCAATTAGAGTTTAGAATTCAAAGTCTTGCAAATAATAAATAATATTTCTTGAGAAAAGCTATGTCCACTCTCTTCACTACTTTCACCGATCCCAGGAGGGCAGGTCGGCAAACTGATTTTTTGAAATCCGCATTTCCGCGTTCCTCGTATCTGTCCAGTACTCGGTTAATTTTGTTCCAATGGATTCCTCCATTTGGAACAAAATTGCGAGTGTTTTTTCGATCCCTGAAACAAAAATTTTGGTGCGTTTTGGCAAAACCGTTTTGCGACTTTGTCGGAATTTTTTGCTCTCATTTTAGAACGAGTAGAGATAACGGATTTTGGTTTTCGGATTCAGAAAGCTGATTAAATTCTGAATGAGACGTAATAGGCTTGAAAAATTTAACATGACTCCTAAAACAATTAAGCGAGCGGGAAAAACTGCCACTTTCATTAGTATCACCCCCTTAAGTGTTTAATTTAAGTGATATTTAGGCAATTAATCAACCTGATGGGAATTAAAAGGTATGCAAAGTGGGCTAAGTAAGCGTATGTGACGTACATATGGAAGCACTTAAGTCGAGGCGTATGACACATGTCATGTATTTGGCTTTGTTGCCCATATCAACATATGTAACTACTTATAATAAATTTCACTTTCAAGTGACACAGTTTTTCACAAATCTAATATTTCATGGAATTCCGTTCAGCGCAAGTCGTACACTTTTACAAAATATTTAAACACATTTAACAAATAAATCGATATCTATAGAACTTGTGCAAATTCAAGTGTTTTGAATGCATATTTATGTTTTAATTTATACGGAATTTATTTTTTACTGGGAATAAGGGAACAAAATATGTAGGCTGGTATATGATAAATTTGATCTGCACAATTTAGCCTTAGAAAACAATGCAATTTATTAGATTTTTACAGGTACCTTAACTTATATAATGCCAGTGGTGTCGACTTTTTTTAAAAGGGGGTCGCACTAGGAAAATTAGAAAATGGAAATCGTCCCGTTATTTTATTTCACACTTACCACATCGTAGTTACATCTCATTTAATAGTAATTGATACCATAAAAAATCATAATCTTTATAACAAATTGGTAAATTTGTTTGTTACAAAATCATGTCAATTCTCGGAAACACTCATAGTTTCAAATTCAGTCCGTATTTCGGCCAGCATTTCATCCCTGACTTGCTCAACGACTTCCTGTTTGACTTGGGCAAGAATTTCCTGCTTCAATTTCGTCTTCCACCCTACACCCTTTCCCGAATCGGGGGCTCGGACAATCTCCGTGGTACTGATGCTGTTACCCGATTTGGCCTAGTCACAAAATTTGTAGTATGCATCAAGTTTAGGTCAACATTTGTATACCGAAAAAATAATATTTATGAAGATGAATCACCTCAACTTCCGGTATGACATTGCTCATCTTTCGCAATTTGTATTGGCAAAATAAGTGGAGTTTGTGCACGGAAAATAAACCCGCCATTGCGCCAAGTTTATAAATATCTTCATGGCTGTCGTCCTCCGCAAGGCCTTCAACTTTTCCGGTGTATAAGTACTAAATAAAAACATGAACCATTACAAATAAAACATTCTCAAAATTTGAAATAAATATTTGCATCATAAATCTACAACATTCCAAATTTCATGAGTTTTCATGTCACTTTCGAAACTGCAATAAGCGTAAATTTACGACAATTTCCAAGAATTCCATGCTCGTCAAGCTTCGTAAATAAAAATATGTAGGCAAAGTTGATGCGACTTTTCTTTCGGAAAAATTAAAAGTCAAATAGTTACCCAAGTTAAATTGAAAGTTTTCAAGAAAGTTTTTAATTCTTTTTAAAATAAATTTGTGCATATTTATTTACGCATACACCGTTAAGTAAGAAGGTCGTGAAAACCTCCACTAAACAAATTTATTATGAATAAAAATACAGATATAACGGTTTTTAAGCGAATTTCCGATTTTGAGTTTTTCTTCTGCAGAAAATATTACCCTTTCAAGGGAACGTCCATGCACTGCGTCATCACAAAACGTCTATTTTTTGCGGCCCACCCACCCACCAACGCCTTCCCATATTAAGCTTAACGAACAGGATAGGCGACCCAAAACCACCCAACCACCTATTTAATGACGTTTTACACGGACGACCCCTAAATTGCTGTAATACTTAAGTATGTAGGTACCTCACCTCAATCATCCTCCTAAACTGGGAAATATCCAGGCCCGGGTATCCCGTCGTGTGATCCAACATGGCGTAATAATCATCCACCTGCTGCCCTGGAATTTTCGGGTCTCTTCGCCTCCTCATAATTGCGCCCAGAACCAACGACCCGGCCGCGACGACGGATTCTTTCACGTAAACCCAGTATTTTTTATTGTTGAATTCGGCATTGAAAATGAAGACGAAATCGGTCCCGAGCCCGGTATGCGAAAAGTTGTATAATTCTTGGGCCGAATAAGTTTCCTCATTCTTCAGATGTGTTTCAAGATAAAAGGTGGATTTCTGTGAGTCAGAGGTTATCAATTAGAGAAGATCATATACTCTTATAAATCTGGTATAGTCTTCCCTTGATATCCCGGTATTAAAGTTGCTTCCACTTGGTATTAATATTATGTATGTACACCGGTCCATAAAAATTGGCTACTTTTGCTCGCTACTATTGGTGATATGATAAAACTTTAATACCGAGGTATTACCAACCACGTTCTAAATACTTATTACCGCTTTGGTAAACGAATACTGCTTGATATTATTTTAATACTGGATTTCTAAGAGTGTATTACATACATACATAGGCACATAATTAGTGTTCACTTACGTAACGCTCCAAAACCCGGGTGGCGAATTCAGATCCACCGTAAGCCATGATTTTACTTAATTTCTCCAAAATAAATATGTACGAACAATTTAAATAATTTAATGGAGGCGTTGTGTGATTATTTATTTAATTGGGATTGAAGTTCTTAGGATTAGTAGTGTGATTTATATACGCAAGCAGTGCGTTATCGTGAAGCTGAAGAGTGAATTGCCCAAGATTTGGGTTCGATTCTGGTAATAAATAAACCGTCACAACGAAGGTAACCAAGGGGTGAAAGAAGTGTGTTATCCGTATTTCAATTCAAATTGATGCATGTATGCAATTTGACCTTTAAATGACATTTCATGACCTTTTGACCTTGATGGGTGTGACCTACAGTGCCCATCTTCGAACTCGTCCTCTCTATTGACGTTAGGAGTTTACGTTCAAAATTTCAAGTGTCTATGTCTTTTCGTTCAAAAGTTATCGGAACTACGGACAGACAGACGGACGGACGGACGGACGGACGGACGGACATAACGATCTTATAAAGGGCTTTCACCCCTTAATAAATACTTTTATGAGACTGTGCAGAAAGCATGTGATCGATTTGATTGAGGGAGTTACATAGGGGTCAAATCCTTCCCATGCTCATTGTAACATGGGGCATATGGATCACACCAGAGGGGTAGGGGTCAAAATTACCCGAAAATCGATGACATGCTTTATGTACGGGACCTATCATGTTTGAAGGGAGTTAATTAAGGTAACATGTTGTAGTGAATATGTAAGACGACCCTTTTTACAAACTTTCTAAACTATTTCTGTCCTACCCGTTTCAAAGGTTAAAAAGGTTAACAATGCATGTACGTGTGATTTACATATTTACACATTATGTACATATTTGTATGTATAAAGGACTAAAAAAACCTTACAGGATTAAGAACCTTATTTCTAAGAAAGTTCTGAAATTGGTTGGATTTTTATTAACGTCATCCACCGCAACGATATCATATTAGTTTTGTGATATTAATATATACAATTATATACAGATATTTTGTAGGTTCATATGTAGCGAACTACATACATACATATTGGTGATTGGAATTATTCAATCTATTGTATAGAACATTAGATACATGTATGTAAGCATAACGCTAAACTATTCACGTGTCGAATGTCATAATTAATTCGTTCTACTAAATTAAAAATAAAACTTAACATTAATATTTAACAGTTTAAACACCAAAATACATACTTCTGATTTCTATGTATTTATTATTTATTTATATGTGAGCCGATTAATTATTATTAACACCTTAAAATACAGTAAAGATACAAACGTTGAAACACCAGAGAAACACCGACACAGTACTTTCCTTCTGTTTGGCTGGGTCATATTTTCAGTTACAAATACCCCTGCACACATCCCTGCTAGAATTACGCAAATAATAAAAAAACGTACCAGATTTGATAAAGTTACAAATTTAGAATTTAATTCAGCGTCGCTTGTAGTTGTCGCATTGTTCGCCTTATTTATGGAATTGGAAAATCTTTGTATCCAAGACTTGGATCGCTCCATCCAATTTGATTCCCACAAATGCAGAAAACCAAACTCATTCGTGTAAGTGTCAAATTTTGATAATTTCTTAAAATATGGAACATTGAAAGAATTATAAAAGTATGAACTTGATCCAACGTTTAGTAAATAACAGTTTGACAGATCCGCCGATTTCAACTTAAATTTTAGATTGGCTGCAACTAAAATTTTGTAAAGCAATAATTCCAAATATTGTTTGGCATGAGTATAATCCATTAAAATCCCGAGAACTGTATCATTCATGCTCTGGAGTGTTATATCGTAACTCATATTCATAATATTTGCCAGCCATAAATTTATACCGGGTTGGACAAAAAGAAATTGTTCTAATTTTCCAATAACCCCATACTTTGCAAAATTAGAAGTAATGTCCTGGCTACTATTGAACAAAAAATTGCATCTGAAATTCTCAATGCAGATGATCTTATTGTTAACAGAACTGTTCACGAATTGCCCCACGTTCTCAAATCCAGACAGACCAGCGGGAACGATGACTTTACTAGTAAACAACGTTTCGTACGAGGTGTACAAAATTATGCACATCAAGACTAACGGTAGTTGTCGGGACTGGCTGGTTTCAAAACCTTGACGAAACAAAGCCGCTGTCATATGTGAGATTTCTTCGCCTATTTTGCGGTCTTCTTGAAAAAATTGCAGAGCTATGAATGTCCCGCCAGTGAGCCCAATCATTACCCAGACTTGATGGCTAAACGGATTTAGCCAAACGGACCAACCTGCTGGTAGACGTTGTCCCGTTTGACAATATAGAATTGAAGGGCTCCAATCTGAAGATCTCGTTGAAAGGGGGTAGTACCATTCTAATGGGCGTTCAAACCTTATCCGGGCAACAAACCCGGAACCGGAACCAATAAATACGGTGAAGTTGAGTACATTTTGAAGAAATACGATTCTGGCGGTGCTTACTCGGCATATATATGTCCAGAAATTAAAAGACCAGATGTCACTGGCGTCATAACACATCTTGTGGCGGAACCATGGATGGGCTGGAACAGTTTATAATTGATTACTACATATAACATACATAAGTTACCATACCCAGCTATCACTATTCAGTATACTAATCTTTATAAGTAATTTGAAGACAAATCGCCACCAGTGGAAGAGCTATACTTTGGGAATTCTAAAGCTAACGTGAGACTCCATCAGTCACAGCATACGTCACAACAATGACGTCACAACCACACCTTTTTAGTTATTTCTCAGCTGCCCGACGGAATCTCAAAATTCTTTCTCGTTCCATTATACTTGGATAATACCGTTGTTGTCCTACTCAAAGACATTCAATATCTCAGTGGTCTTTCGTGTAAAAAGATTTACTTTGAATTTAGAAATTAAATCATAATACTAATGCCTCGGAGGGTCACGATTTATCACCACTATTTTACAGTGTATACATATGTACATACCTAAGTCGGGATCAACAAATTCAGTAGGTAAAATTCCAGGGAAGAATTCAACCGCGACGCCGTCAAGACTCGGAAATTTTTTAAGCAATGATGACACGATAGAAAAATTTGGTGGCATTGAGCGAAAAATTGCGCCATTGTTCCCTCTTTCCAAGTAATAAAACCGCTCCGTTGTGAACAATTCGACGAGAACTAGGCACGGTGAGGAATATAGCCTTTTGTGTAGTACGTTATCCCCTAACGTGTCCCTGATTAAGATTACAATCGTCTCGGTTCGAAAAACATGATAGTAATAATGATCTGTAAACTCTTTTGGTAATATTGATTTAGTGAAATCGACGTAGAAAATGATACTGCACCAGGCCTGATGTCGTTTCGGCATGTTGGCAACACTCCTTAGTTTGCGGCGCGAGAGATCTAACCTTCGTGGCCATTTTGTGTGGACAAGCCAGGAAACTGGGGAAGATTCAAGGCGGCCATGTATATTCCCAAAGAGGGACAAGCCCTGTTCAAAATCCCCGATTTGTTGGTAGTGCAGGGTGCATTTAAATGTCGGCAGTACCGGGGCAGTAATCTGGGCCAACTCTGCGGCGAATTTTGACAAGAAAGCGTCACAAGGCTGGACGTAAAGGGGGATGAAAAAGATTAATGTGTATCGCATTTTGAAATTATGTTGGCTGGTTTCCTGTCCAAAAGGAACAGAGAAAGAAGAACAGAGTGCAAAAATCTGTATTGGAATTGAGTTGTTATATCCTTCATTTGATCGATTGAATATTTCGTGGCACACTCTACGAAATCTTACAACTGTGCGACTATACAGATGAAATTAATAATATACCACCCCTCGGTGACAATTGGATGCAAACAACTCACCACCAGCCTGGTGGTACTATGACAAAATGATAAATCACCACGTACAAGCACACAATTATGTATGTATGTATGTACCTACAAGGGAAAAACTCGGATCCCAGGGCCGGTAGGGTCACGTCTGTCACCAAAATTTTTAGAGTGTATTATTTAGCATTTTACATAGGTAATTACTTATTGATTAACAAATACTTGACCTTTGCTGACTTATCTGTCAACAAGTTTGCGTGTTGGCAAGATAATACTGACTCATGGTAAGTTTGATGACTTATACTTCTAAATTAGGCATACAACATTTGACCTTTAGTTCCAAGTCAAGAAACATCAGTTTACTGTTGTCAAATGCATATTTACCAAATTGCTTTTCTTATATTCTAATAATAAAATAGTCAATAATAATAATATATATTAATATTATGATTTTCAAGTAATTTATGTAATAGATTTTTTGTGTCATATAACAAAATCGGCCAGATACATACATACATAACCTGTGAGATTTTTTTCGTATGGTTTCTAACCGAACACAGTTTGTCGAACAGTAATATTTACATACAAATAATAAATATCCAATATTACTATCTACACATTGCATTGTGGAGATGAATGGTGGTGTAATCTTGGGTGTGAGGAAAATAGCCCGTCCGTCCTGGTCTACCGGGGGCCGACAGCAGCACGACCAGGGGACAAGTATTCAGTTTTAAGCCTAGTTCTCAGGTCGGATTTTTCACGCGAAAAAGATTACCAAAAACGAGAAGAAGAAACTTGAGTAAAATTTTGCAATTTGTATGAATTTCAATTAACTCCCTTTAATAAATTTTTCTCTCATAAATTGGCCTAAATTGACCTTCGCTCAAGTGTTACTTACATTTAGTCGATTAGACTGGATACAAAAATGGTATGATAATGGGTATGAAAACAGCTACAAAATTTGCAGGGTGCATGATAAGTAACCAAGAAAAATTTTGGTTGGATGCAGTTACCTTTTTTTAGAAAAATGTCACATTTCTTTACGAAATAGCTAAATGTCAACATTTTTATTTTTGTACGTTTTTTCTTGAAGGAATTAGTGAATTTTTGAGGAAGATGATCTGTGAGGAGTTTAAATCTTTGCCAGGGTTCGGAAAAACCCGGGGTTTTACTCTGAAAACAACTACCCCGGGGTTTTACTGGGTTTCACTGGGTTTTGGGGTTTTACTGGGTTTTACTGGGTTTTACTCTATGCTTGGGATGAAGTACTAAAACTTACAATGTTACGTCAATTTGTTAAATTAATGAATTTTGTCAACAAACACCTTCAATTCAAAATGTCAGGAATACAAGAAAAATACGAATTTAATCAAACTCCAAGTTAAGCTGAAAATTATGATTATTAGATCATAAACAAAATTCGAAATAAATAGAGAAATTTACGGAATATGGCTCAGAGTACTTAATTCGAGTTAGATATGCACCTGCAAACTGATTCTATTGATTTATCTATTTGAATTTAAGATAAAACTTAGTAAAACCCGAGTAAAACCCCTTTAACATAGTAAAACCCGCTGGGATTTATTAATTTACGACCCAGTAAAACCCAGTAAAACCCCAAAACCCCAACCCAGTAAAACCCGGGGTCGGAAAACCCTGATCTTTGCGCTTATGAGAGAACTTGGAAAAATTGTTTTTAATGGAGGTCTTTCAGAGTATATTCTTCGATTTTGATTAGTATTAATCGGTTACTTATTTAACTGGTACGAAGTTTGCAAAATACGAGATCTTCCGACGAACATGTTTATGTAATTGCGCATGCAAAGTCTCATGTCATATATTTGCACACATGTGCATATGTATTAAATCCTTCAATTTTAAAGTGATGACAATCTCGTGATTTTATTTTATCTCATCTTGGTTCAGTCTCATTTCATGCATACATAATAATCAAACTGAATAAAAAAAATCCTGATCAAATTCGTATTTATCTCGTACAAAATCTTCTTAATCCTCGGAAGTAGTCATAGTTTAAAATTCCGCCCGAATTTCGGCCAACATTTCATCCCTGAGTTGCTCAACGACTTCCTGTTTGACTTGGGCAAGAATTTCCTGCTTCAATTTCGCCTTCCATCCCAACGCCTTGCCCGATTCGGGGGCCCGCACAATCTCCCCGCTGTTACCCGGGTTTTTCTCATTCATGGCCTACATAGTTACACAATTTGTAATGTTTAGCAACAATATTTTTGGCAATATTTATTTTGCATACTCAAAAAATATATATAAATATGTAAATGAATCACCTCAACTTCCGGTCTCACCAAGCCCCTTCGCATCATCATCGATTTCTTCTGGCAACATGCCACAAGTGGACGCACCAAAAATAAACTCGTCATTGTTGAAAGTTTACAAAGCTCTTCATAGCTGGCGTCGTCCGGAAGGCTTTCCACCTTTCCGGTGTATAAATACTAAACAAAAAACCATTTCAAATATTTCAAAATTTCAAAATATTTTTCACAAAATTCACAATGCAAAAGAAATGTTCCATCGCAAAACGATAGAATTCACGCAGTTCTTGGTAACTTTGTAAAAGTTTTGTAAAATAAATTTACAAAATAATGTGACGCCCGTGATCTGAGTCAGCTTAATAAATTTGTAAGCCACTTTTCCCGATAAATATTTGTAGAATTTTGTAAGTTTACAGACTTCAATTCCATGCATAATTATCAATTATAATAATTCTTTAGAACGTCCATATATTACGTCATCATTTTAGTTGGTGCGTGGTTTAGGTCTTCCTAGCTTTCCCATGCATGTCAAAATTCTCTCTCCCTTAATGTAAACGTTGGGTGCTAAAATCTAGAATTCTTTATGACGTAATATATGGAGGTGCCCTTGTTAACTGAATTTTTCTTTTGAAATTTTTGCCCAGAGGATGTTCACAACTTATGCCATGGCTGAGGGAAAGGTGCAATAATTTTGCGTGGCAGGCCAATTTACGGAAAATGTTATACATAAAGGGGTCCAATGCATGACAAGCGCAAATTTTTTTATGACATGATTTATCGATGTTCCCCTGCACAAAATATGAGCTTTTAAATAGCTACTTATTTATCTCACCTCAATCATCCTCTTAAACTGAACCATATCCAGGTCCCTGTACCCAGTCGACTCATCCAACATGGCGTAATAGTTCTCGACCGCCCGTCCGCTTATGTCCTGGGCTCTTCGTGTCTTCATAATTTTGGCCAGGACCTCCGACCCAGCCGCGACGACAGATTCTTTCACGTAAATCCACATGTTTTTATTGTTGAATTCGCCATTGAAAATGAAGACGAAGTCGGTTCCGCGTCCTTTATGCGATAAGTTAAACAATTCTTGGAGCGAATAACTGTCCGCGTTTTCCAGAGAGGTTTCAAGATCAAAGATCTTTTTCTGTAAGACATAAATTACTTATTAATTGCAAAAATCTGTGGTGAATACATGGAAATACTTATCGTATTGATTTCTAGGTGGTAAAGTTGATTCCGGTTGGAATTATATAAAACTACGCCAGTCTGTACAAATTTGCAACGGATATGGCAAAACTTTAATACCGAGTTACATACCGTAAAAACTCAAATAGTAGCCGTTGCTCAAATAGTAGCCGGGTCTATTTTCATAATTTTGTAAATAGTGACCGTGCTCAAATAGTAGCCTTGCCCAAATAGTAGCCTTATTCGAATAGACGCATCTCTATTTCCATACAACCACACTTCTTGAGAAATCAAGATAATTAAATTCTAATTCAATATAATCGCAATTATACACTATCGAAACGATGAGTTGATAACAAAACACGAATTTATCTCATCGAAAAAATCATTGAAGAGCAGGTCGAGCAGAATAATATTCCTATGAACTACAAATCTAAGGGCAAAATTGGCGTCGTTATTAAAATTTAATTTGAGTTTGATTCAGGAAATAAAAATAATAGTCGTATGCAAATAGTAGCCGTGTCTTTCTTTATAATTTTATAAATAGTGACCTTGCGCAAATAGTAGCCTTGCTCAAATAGTAGCCGGGTCCTAGCCACCGATTTTATAAATAGTAGCCCCCGGCTACTATTTGAGTTTTTACGGTATGTATGTATATACTATTCGCATATTTAGGCGTGTCACCTCATTTGCATAAATCTCACTATGCCCATTTTCGGAGATACGGGCTTCCATATTGAATGAACTCGCGAATGCGTCAAAATATGCAAATAAGGTGACCAGCTATAAAAATTCGATAGTATTGTATTACTTATCAATAATATGTACATCCTTTTGTAGAGTCATATTCATATCAGACTCTACTGTACATATTTTAAAAAAAAAGGTCGTCTTTATTGATTCCCAATTTTAGCCATTACATTTGAATTACAAGTGAACCAAACCTCACATAAGTGAGAAATAGATGGTCACAGGTTCCTAACTATGGTGCCCGTAGTGCAATGGACACCGCACAGACCTGTGCAACAAGTCAGAGAGGAAAACCACAAGGGAAAAAACTCTCAGCCAGTACTGGGAATTGAACCCAGAACCTCCATTCGGCTTGAAGCACAGTGTGATTACCACTCGGCCACCACTGCCTGCCCACCTATGTATTGATATCTACATATGTACCGCTTGGTATTATGCGAATACTGGATTTCTAAGATTGTATTAATGATCTTGTTCACTTACGTAATGATGTAAAACCCGACTGGCTAATTCACATCCTCCGTAAGCCATGATCCTACGTAATTTCTCGAGAAGAAATATGCACACGAAAAATTTAATAATTTGATGGCGGCGTTATGTGATTGAAATTATTAGGGACGTGTTCAGTGCTGCGTTGTATGTAGTGGACTGAATTGTGAAGAGAGACTTGTCTAGAATGGGCTTCGACTCGGTTTATATATGTAGGTATTTACCATTATTTTGGAAAAGGTTGCATTTGGTAGTGGCGAGTATGTAAGAAGACCCTTTTTACAAACTTTCTAAACTATTTATGTATGTATGTACCCGTTGTAAGCTACAATCACTTAATAAGGGCGATTGGTTACAAAGGTTAAATGTTTATATATGTACGCATTTTTGATTTGTTTCGTGTAAAAGGCAATGTACCAAAGTTTGAAGCATCTGAACCTCACCAGTAGGAAGGTCATACTTATTTATTTAAGTCAAAATTAGAATTTCTTGGAACTTTTCAATAATGCTTGGAATCTTTGTAAATGTGGCCTATTTAGTTATGATGAATATTTATCTACTTATACTTTATTTTAAAACTTAAGCTATGAATAGAAAGATATGGATACACTTTAAATAAAAATGAGTGAAATTTAGTCAAAAAAGGTTAAAATTTGGTTAAAAAAGAGGCAAAAGGTATATAAAATTTATCAAACCGTAGTGCAAGGTTTATTCAAAGTTGTTTAAAATTTGCTCAACGGGCGGATAAATTTTACCTTTGGTTGTATCAGCCTCTTTTTTAACCAAATTTTTTGATAAGATTTTTTTAGAGTGCAAAAAAATTTGCATTCATTGCAATACGTATTCACCAATTTTTTATTAAGTCGAATGACAAGAAAGGCAATGCGATGGCATTTAGAGTTAAAGGCATGATTTCCAAGAAATATCTATTTCGTTTGGAAGGGTTGATCGAGAATAAAAAGGCATCTGAACCCTCCCTTCATGACCAATGGGCCGATGAAGGATCTACATACCTTAAAAATGAATGGAAGGAGGTTGTTGAACCCATCTAATTATTTAGATTAGAAGGGTTCAACAAGGTTCTGGATTATTTTAGTTTGCTTTGATCTGCACAATGCTAAAAATATGGATAAAAAGCTGGTGGATGAGTTTGATTTTTGCTGCATTTAAAAGGTTGGTATGCATAAAATTTTATGCATGTATGTACATATATGTATGTACAAATACATATTTAAATATGTATGTATACAAAAATGAGATATTAAGATATGCACATCCCAAACTAAAAGTTTATCAATGCCATTATTTTATTCAGCCTCGAAATTTCGTGAATTTTAAATTTTAACCATTAGTTTAATCATTGGTATGGTTTTAACCATATACCGTACAATTCAAATAGTAGCCGTGCGTTTTTTCATAAGTTTATAAATAGTGACCTTGCTCAAAAAGTTGCCGTGCCCAAATACATAGTAGCCCAATCAAAATAGTAGTCTTATTAGAATTATATCCGTGCGTCAAATGTACATACGTACAACCACACATCTTCCCAGCTCATTTGCATAATTCAATTACAATTCAATATAATCGAAGTTACACAAAATCGAAGTGAACACGAAATTCGGCTCACCTAACAAATTGATTAAGAGCAGGGCTATTGTCATCGATTAAAATTCCAAGGGAGCAATTGGTGCCCTTCCTAAAATTTAATTTATGTAAGCTTGATACAATCGCTACATATGTTCAAATAGTAGCTGCGCATCTCTTTATAATTTTATAAAAAGTGACCCTTCTCAAACAACAGCCTTGCCCAAATAGTAGCCGGGTCCTAGCCACCGATTTGGTAAATAGTAGCCCTCGGCTAATACATATTTGACTCGATTTACAATACTTGAAACTAATGGAGCTACGTATTTAACTAAAATGTTATTTTAATTCATGTCAATATTTCTGCATGTTATCAATTTTCCTACTTCTTCAACGCCAAAACTGCCCTAAACACCCCCCGGACAATTACTTGTACAAACTTAATCACCGTCTTGTACGTAATTGTCATAATCCCAGGATATCCGAAAAACAAGGGTTTACAGCATTTCCTAAATTTCCCCATATACTTTGCCTCCGACCGACCCCACAGTTCTCCCCCTCCACGTTTCCACGATGTCACACATTCCCCCGAACTTTCCGACAATTTTCCCGCGAACGTAATAAACGCCCCCCATCCGACAATAATCATCACTGCGCAGGCTGGAACGACCACGTGGCTGCACGCATCCAAACGCTTCCATTCCACAATGACGATATATCCCGCGGAAATTGAAATTTGTCCGATTAAAGCTTGCACAATTGGAATAAAAGGTCCGCATGCGAACGACATTTGCTTCGTGATCAGCTGTAAACCTCGAAATGTAACTGCTACGTTATCCGGATACGCCATGAGATCAGGGGCACATTGATATTTTCGTCTTTTGCCGCCAGATTTATCACACGGGCAGTGCCGTTTCTGTCCTTGGTCCGGCCTGGAGAGTAAAATTCTCGTCCGGCCTTTTATGTGCAAAATTGCTAAAATTGATACAGCGGATTTCTATCGCTTATTTCTTATCTACGGCTATGGTCACAAATACAGTCGGTGTCTCATTTGTTCGTGGAAGGGTTTGGCAATTTTCTTACCCCACAGGCGGAATTTTTTAAGGCAAAACTTATTCCATATGACGGCCCTTGTTCTTAACTTCAAGAATGCATCGCTATTTACCCGATAAAAAACCTCCAAGGACTTTTCTAGGGCATATTTCTTCCAGTCATTATTTTAAGGGTTCCAAAGTACTTGAAAATTCGGGATTCGTAAATCGATTCCGGATTTTCCTGATGAGTTAAGTCTATATTTTTGTAAGAACTGTACCTATCTAATCAAAAATCTATCTAAATCTAAATCTAATCTTTATCTAATCAAAAATATTTTTAATTTCTGATATACACAAATTATGAATTCCGAAAATCTCAAGTTCATATTTAATTTTAAATTAAATTATAGCTTGCTACTGTATTGACAAACTTTTTTTTTAATTCTAACCAATACAGGGCTTTTAAAAAACGGTTTAGAACCATGTTTCCAAAGTGGAAAACCGGGTTACTTAAATTTGCCAAAACTTCTACTACAAACCGGTTTTAAAAATCTCCCGATTTTGGATGCTCCAGAGATGCGACTTGATTGGCAAATTTCGCGAAACAGAAATTATCGAATAAGTTATGTACATTAAGACAGTTTTAGTTATAGTTGAAACCATAATTCAATTTCTCTTTGTCCATTTTTTGATAGATGCGTATTTGCATTTGTAACACCCCACTTTCGTGCATCAAAGCTCCTAGAAAAAAAGTAACGCATGCAATTCAGTTTATCGCTCGGAAATGTTCGAACGCGTTCATAGATCATGACCAAATTAAAGAATAATATGTACCTGGCCATTGTTATGAAAGAATTTGAAGCTAGGTTAGACCAAAAAATATTTGATGAAGTAGGGATCATATATTTAGTGCAAAATATTCGAAATAATCGTGGGAGACTGAAATTTGGCATTGTGGGTCGACACAGATAGAATGCCGAACGTATTTATGCTCGATTGATAGTGTAACGGCCTCTTCAATTACATATGAAAAATTGTTTGATAGGGTTAATAACTCAAACTTGAAAATTTTTCAACTGCAGGACTATTTATCTTATGCTACCTTAACCGATTTACAGAAATCGTCTCGGAAGGCTTAAATTTGAATATTGTTTCATATTGTGAGATCATTGAAACTTTTCAGAAGTGAACAAAATCGAGATTCAATTTATAACTTTGTAAACGCTGCTTAGGAACGTTATGTATAAGTTACATCTGCTACATGTACTTCGGAGGGTCAATTATATCTAGTGTCTGCACCACCCGGCCGGTACGGCCCTTCGGGCCGTCCGGCCTGGAGAGTGCTCTCCACCCAAAACCAGTGCTCCTACCGCCCTGCACACGGGCAGCATAGCTCTTCGTTTAGAAGTGGGAGTAAGAATACGGTTAATGCGGAAAAACCGTGGCAACACGTTTTTACGAAGGCTGCCCAATGGAACAAGGAGTAGATGAAGGAAGGAATGTAGATTATGTAAACGACCCGGTAGATGAAGGTATCATGTGGGAAAAGGTTGGGAAAGTGGACGGGATGTCGTGGTAAGAGGATCACGTGTAGACAGAAAGTTACCGGGGTCATGTTAAGCATGAAATTGACGAAGGTTGCGATTAGAATCCATGTTTTGTTGAAATTAGTGGCAGCCTCGCATTCTGGGTGGGACCACCATCGTGCTGAAATATGTAATTTTATTATGTAGCAGGACTTATGTAATGTATGTAAGACATGTAAGTAATGTAATGTAAGATGATTTTTAATTATATGTAAAACGACAGTTAAGACCATATCATAGCTGTATGAGATGAAAAACTCCATACACATTGTATTTTGCATAATTATTTTTGCACAATCCTGCAGAAAATTTGTAGCGCTATTACATATTCTGCAGAACCGTACATAAATATGTGCATAATTCTGCACACATTTCTTTATCGCTCTGAATAGGAATTGGGTCAAATTTCTGCAGAAAATTGGCCAAATTTCTGCAGGGAACCCGTTAAAATTTTACACGGGCCTGGAAGAGTGAAAATCGTGGAAGCTCAATTTAGCCATACAATTTAACAGATATGTATTTACCACTGAACTTCATCCCATACAGAAACGCAGTGTTCATCAAACTTGCCACATCTTTCCCCTTTATGGCCAACATCCACAGAGACAAATTTCCAGCAACCACCCCGTAACAGCAGAACAAAAATAAGTTATAGTTGACAAAATCTCCCAAAATTTTGTATTTTATGGTTTGCCCAAGCACTAAAATTGCCAATGTTCCGGAGGAAATTAAAACCATGGTTGCATTAGCTGCGTGTTTCTGAGAAAACTGCAATCGTCGAGTCTTCCCATTCCAGAGGAAGGGATAACTAAAAATATTTCCTGTTTTAACAGTGTTTCCAAATTTTTCGAAAAATTCTTCCGTAAACATGTTGTCGATTTCGTTAGTCAAGTTGGAATGGTTGGAAAGTGAAGTTGTCGATAATATATAGCTTGGAAGGACAAATTTATGAGGTTTTCAACCGTCGGAGGCGATTTATAT